TATACACAAAGAACAAACATAAATCAGGTGATTTTTATTATTTTTTTCAGATTAAGGGAAGAAACAAACAAAAAAGAAGACATAAACACCTCATTTTTTCTTTATTACTGTGTAGTTTTTGACTTTGATGGAGTGACTTCAAAGACTTTACATTTTTTTCCAGCACGAGAGTAACATCAGACTCAAATTCTTCACATACAAAAGAACTCTGGTTGAGTCACAAAAACATTTTCCATCTTGAACTTTTTACTTTGTAGAAGAAAACCTAAAGTTTCTTCCCCTTAAACTCATCATGACTTTCAATATTTTTCATTTAAAATAAAGAAAAATCCATGTGCAAAATCAAACAGAGGTCAAAGGATGGAAATTCTGTAGGACGGTTAAAGTGAGAAAAGCAATAAGAAAATTTTAGCAAATCCTCTTACAAATGAAAAATTAAGATTTCTTTCTCAGATTTGGGGTGGTTTGTGTTTTTTTCAAAAGAATCTCTGAGGGAAAAACTGCCTCAATCCCAGTAGTTGGGTTCTGGACTGAGCATTACCCAGCTATTCCCAGAAGTCCTCACTGCATCAATTTTGCTTTGGAGTCAAATCACTCAGTCACACAATTTGCTACTTTTCAGATTAAAATGGTTCCGCTGAGATGCCCATCTTCTTTTCTGAGACATCATTTGGTTTCCTTTCATAAGCATAGTGCTGGGATTTTGCAGTGGTGATTGTCATTGGATTTTCTGTGAGGTTTTTTGATTAGGAAAGACAAACCGCATCAGTTTTAACTTCTGCTTAAGTCTGCTCACTGCATAAAATAACTTACTGTGCAAACCTTAACTTATGTTAGAGATACAGACAAAAGCAGTATGACACTATAATTTTAACCAGTTTCTGTGATCTGTACGTAGTAACAAATGTTCTTAAATGCAGTTGACTGTTTTGCAGAAAACAATTTCTACTAATTTGTCTTTATTTAGTCAGTAATTAAAGCAAAAAAGGTGGTTTCAGCATTGACATAGTTTATTAACTACCCATCTAATTTTGTGTTTTGAAGACTAGGTGGTCTTCAAAAAGGCATAAATTGTGATTTTACATCCTGGCATTGAAGGGGAGGGGGGAGTAAGCTTTGGCTAATTCTGTTAGTATAACTCTGTAAAACAGTTACTCATGTGAAATATTTTCATCAGGAATGGGCCACCCTAGTATTCAGGCAGCAAATTCATATTTGATAGTCTTTGAAGTAAATAATAGAAATTTCCTGTTGGACTAAGTATGTCACTGGTTTTTTTGGTTTTCTTTGGGAGGGAGGAGGGGGGTTCTGAACAAGCAGAATAAGGAGGAAAACATATATCAAGCACTGATAAATGTCTCTTGTTTGCACAAATTTCTAGAAAGAGGCCAACTTGCAAGCAGGGAGGAGGTAAATTATTTATGCCACTGTTTCTGCAGATGCAAAACAGAGATAAATTCTTGTATAAAGGGTGAATGTGGATTATGGGACAGCAGACAGATAGAAAAAACAGTCCATGGGACATCTAGAGTCTGCCAGACAGAGATTCCAATCCATCCAGTTTTGACTTCAAAATCTTCTTACCCTAGCCTGGATCTGTCAGACCTAGTGCAGAATCTCAAGTTTCAGCAGGATGTACAGCACCATTGAGCAGCACTTGTTCACTGAGGAAGATTGGCACTTGAATGTGGTGACAGCTCTTTATAAATTGCAGTGGTGGGTGGCAGAGCACTCCTCAGGAAAATTAAGAGTTTTTATTTTTAGGAAGGTGGAATAGCAGTGTGCTAAGAGACAAATCACGAAGCAAACAGAAGTGGGCTGGAAGAATACAGGAGATAAACAAGCTATGCAGGACAAATGGATAAAATTAGAGAACTAGAGCAGCATTTCTGACTTAGGTGTGAATCCAGAAGTGTGTGATTCTAAATGGTTTTTATCTATCCAGAACAACTAAGAAAGACTACATAGATTTGCTAAAGGAAAGAAAAATCAAACTTCTGTCACTGGAAGCCCTTTAAATCTCAGTGTGTTTGGGTTTCTGGTGCTTTCTGGCAAGCAGAGCATGACTGGGACTTACGGCTGCCAACTCCACATCTGAGCCTTATCAGCATTTCCTCAGTAGAGTCTGAGAAATGGCCATGCATGGGGAGGGGAGAGGCTAGGTCTCAGGGCACCAAGGCAGCTTTGTGTAGGAAATCCCACCCCAAAGAAGCCCCTTTCTGTAGAAAAAACTTGCCCCTACAACAAGGTTTTGTGCCTAGGTGCAGCCAGCCATGTCCCAGAGTGGTTATTTTCCCATCTCCTCTTCTTTCCATTTTGCAAAGTACAATGATGCCAAAACAATGTACAGGTGAGTCAGAAATAAAGAACAAAAAAGGGACTAAAATAGCTCCCAGACCACGAGATGTGTCACAAGCATGGCACCAGGCAGACCTGCCTTTCCCCCCAGCAGAGGGGCTGCCCTACCTTTCTCTGTGCTACAGCTCTCTTGAGTCACCTTGGCTTGTCAGGAGCACTCAGCCCCCTGGGAGGTGTCCCATGAGTGTGCTCAGGAGCTGCAGTCCTCAGTCTTGTGTAAAGATTACTGTAATTGTGGTGTCTTTGGGCTGTAAGAGGATCATTAGCTCCCCAGCGATCCTAAATGTTTATCGTTCTCATTTCCATTGATTTCCCAAGCCCAGGTTGCCCTGAACTGGAGCTTAGTGTGTCTCTGAGGAGCTGGATACACAGTTTTTCCTTCTGTCACCATACAAGAGGAAATGCTTGGTCAATGAGAGCTGCTGGAGGAAAGGTGGCTGTGATGCTTCCTTGTTTTGTGAAAGTATTCCCTTTTAATTCTGTCAAAACTGCTTGAAGGAGAATGGTGGGAATTTTCCCTGTGTTTCTCACAGATGCAAAATATCCTCTGCACTGCTGATTGCTCATACCTCTGTAACTTTCTCATTAGTTCTTAGCAGAGCTCTTGCCAGATGTGTAAATCAAAAGTGTCTCAGACACCTTTTATGTGCTCTGGGACTTTCTGCATTTTTCATGCTTTTTTCTTATCCTCTTTCTTTTACTCTACATTTCTAAATGCAGCTCACTGATATGTGCTCATCAATGGCTTTTGTCTTTTACAGAAAGCAGTATGATTCCATGAGAATCATAAAAATTAAATAATGGTTTTATAAATTTTCAGAGACAGGGAAAAACACAAGAAACATATAAAATTTAGCAGCTTGGGAATGGATGAAGCAGGAATTTCCAGTCTGAGTTCCTTTGGCTTTGGCGAAAGGGCATTTGGAAAAGATTCCTTAACAGAAAAACCAGTTAAACAGAGATATGTGTGTTTTCCAGTTTAGGTATTTATATGAGATTTTACTAAAAAATTTTGGCCATCTGCTCTACTCTCCACCCTTACACTTTCTGATCTACCTGTGGAAACTGCTGGACTTCATTTGCCAGAGGGAGAGGAATCTTTGCCTTCCCTAATTAACATCAATTTGTGTAGCGACTAATTTTTGGCTTTTGTTAGATGATACAATATTAAACTTCAAGGGAAAGTGTTGTCCAGCCAACCTCCTTATTTCCTTGGATTCATACTGGTCTTGACTGTAAAGTCAGGAAAATGTCTTCAGAAGACTTCATCTTGCTAACATGTAAGGGAAAATGGATATTTGGATAAACTTTCCCAGCTTAGCATGGGTAACACAGTAAAGAATGGTATCAGAAAAGACAGCTGACTCTGCTAAATTGTTCCAGAGCAGGTTTTACATTCTAAGTACAGCAAGTGAACATGTAGAGTGCTTAGAGGTTATTAGGAAATAAAACCTTGTATAATAATACCACAATTTATTCCCTGAAACACTTTGTATGGATTTGATTTAGGAGTATTTACTGTTTTAAAACCTCCTGAAAAGGGGAAATACCTTTGAAATCAGTGTTTTAATTTTCTGTGCTTTCTTCTGAATGATTTTTATTTAATCAACTACATTTGTAACAACATTAGTGAGTTTAACTTGTAAGCCCATATACTTACTTTAGTCAGACAAATATACTAACCTCCAACCAGCAATAGCCTATTATGTCTGAGAGGATTTTCTCCTGTTAATTGAAAATGAACTGGAACTAAGCTAAATTGCTTGAATGTTTAATCTTTCCTTGCTACACTAGGGTTACTAGCAGGTGCAAGCACAGGCACATTTCTAAACAGAAATAACAAGCTATTTAGTGTTTCAGCTCTGGCAAGCGCTGAGAAGGGCAGTGACCTGTAATACCAGTAAGAGTGTGAGCATTTCCAAGTCTCAGGCATTTCTGCTAAAAGACAGCTCCTCAAAGCTTACATTTGTTTGTAGCCCAGGGAAATGTTAAAGAAACGTCTTGCAGGAAAACTGATTTCCTTCGTCATTAATGTAGAGAGAATTTAATCTTCAGGAAATGGAACTAGCTTGCAAGCGGGAAAATATAGAGGTTGCTTTAAGGATCAAGCAGCAGGATAGACTGGATCCCCTGTCCTGAGGGAAAATTGCAGTAGTTGCAGCTCCCTGTACTCTAGGCATGTGCTCCCTGTGTGGTCAGGGATTTGCAGCATGTTCAGGCTGGTCCTGCAGATCATTTATGTGGGGGCAATTGCCCTGCATTCCCAGGGAACCTCTCAGCCCAGAGAAGGCAGGAGAAGTGTTTCCAGAGAAGGAAAGGTGTGTCTGGCAGTGGATGGTGGTTAGGCCCTGCTCTCAGGAGCTGTGTCCTGCAGAAGCTGCTGGCCAGTGGAGAGGAGAGCTGGGGAGGAGCATATCTCTCCATGTCAGTGAGGAAGGACATGCATGTCCACTAGACACATTCGTGAAAACCAACATTGCACTTACACAGAGATGAGACAGCAGCTCTTTAAACATTCTCTAAAAAACACCCCAAACACACCTCCTAGTCTCCTCATTATTTTCATGGACAGGCAGTTCCTCCTGTCTTGCAGCACTTCTCAGCCCCTTTTTAACATTCCCTTTTCTATCCTTTACATACAGGTGCTGTTTTGCTCCACTGCCACAATTAAAATCCCCTAGACAGAGGCAGTACAAAGGTGCTCTTTGCTCTCTTGTTCCTCAAAGCATGGACATCAAGAACTGGATCCCAGCCCACTGACATCAATGGGAGCCCTTCCATTCACCTCATGAAGTCTGTGCCAGGTCAAGGAAGAACACAGATGAGAGAAGGCAATTTGGCTGTCACATTTTCCTTTCATCAAGAGCTTTACACAGAAAAAAACTCTTTTTAATGTAACTTCTGCTGCTGAGTTGGAGATTTTTGTCCCTGTGAAGTGAATTTCCACTAATAACTACAGAGGTTTTCAGGATGGGTCTGAGAATGGAGCAAAGAACTAGAGTTACATGGGACATCTGAGGTAATGGATGTTTTTATTACTTTTTTTCCTTAATTTGACAGCTGAACTGGAGGGAGACAAGTAAAACCAGTTTGGAGAAGTGGAAAATGAAAGCTGTGTTAACAGGGTGATTTAGCTCCAAGGAGCATCCCTACATCCTGGCACACAGCAATGGGGGTGGGGTGGGCAGAGGGCTGAGGGATGGCATTCAGGTGGCAGCTAAAGCACCAGTGCCACTGGTGATGCCACCAGCGAGCATCATTTTAGTGGCCTGGGTGGGACAGGAGAGAGGATCTAGCTTCCAGTCCCCAGTCTAGGATGGGATATATAGAAGTGGCTGCACTCATCACAACTGCCTCATTCCCAGCCGCTCTGGGGTGTCAGGAAGGGAGAGATCATCCTGGCAGAAAGAGAACATAGCAGAGCTGGAGACTTTGGGTAAGGGTGTAGATAGGGTCTTCTGTAGGCACACACAGTTTGTGGTGGTTGGGGCCCAGCCTCATCCCCAGTGGGCACAGCTGTGAGCAGCACTGACAGCAACGAGCCATGGAATGCCCGGGGCACTGAGCAACCACCACAGGGAACAGAGGGCACACAGGTGCCATGCATCAACATGAGGGGATAAAAGGTTGGGCTAAAGAGCAAGAAGGGCAGATGCTTGAAGCTTTCTGAAGAGGTAAGGTGTTACTCTGTGTGGGTTGAAGCTTTCTGAAATTGTCTGGTGTCACCCTGTGCATTGTGGCCATCTCAACAGTGACAGTCTTCTCAAGCAGCTATAGAGTTTTCACTTAGAAGATGTTATATTTTAAAAAATATGAATTTCTCTTTAAATATCAAAGAGTATTTCAAAGTAATGGATTTGTACTTTCTTCATTGGAACAGGAGCCAAAACATGGTTCTAAGGGCATGACTCTGGAGCTATCAGCTTTCTAAGGAGGAAATGTACTGAGTGACAGGTAAGATAAAAAATAATGATTTTTTTCCTTCCTTTAACCGGATGTCAGCATGGCAAGGGTTGGAAATTCAGGTGAAAGGCTCACATTAAATAAACTTTCTGCCTTCTCCTCCAGTAGCACCTCAGATATCTTAACATTTGGAGTGTCATCTAGAAGTCAACTTTATTTTGACAAGGCCGTGTCCCTGGGATGTTGGGATCATGGTCAGCCTGTAACAGCTTAAGGCATTGTCAGAGAAGTGTGTGAGTGATGGCCAGAGAGCCATCTGCTCCCTAGGGTGACCTCCAGAGTCAGAGAGAATGGAGAAAGAAGGCCATGCCAAAGCCAGTGATGAAAGTGGAGGTCTTTTCTTTTTTATGGATGTACAGTCAGGACGCCAATCACAAAATAAATGTGGGGTTTTTTACTGACTATGCCTGGCAACCAAACCATGGATATTTAACTCCTTCAGGTTATTGTCTCAGTGGAGGTAAGAGCTAATTTACGCCTCTGAGGCATCCACTGATTTTATCAAAGTTCAGAAAATTTCTTTGAAAAATTCTAGAGTCTAAGCGAAAAACAAAAAGAAATATGAAGTTAATTTAGATAGAAATTAATAAACAGTACTTAGCCCTTTCTAGCTTAACTTGCAAAAATTGCACTTTGATGTAGGTCTACTGTAAGTTGAATGTTCTGTCTGTCAAAAATCCTTGGAAACTGATTGCCTAAATGTTGGATGCTGAGCCCTGCTGCCCACTGTACAGCAGGGAGTGGTACCAGCCCAGAGGCTGTGGAACAGGGCACAGGTTGGATCTGCAGCAACAGGTTTTTCTATGCTCTATTGCCCCTAAATCCCATGAAATTCTGGATGTGTCCATATGGCTATTTAAGTACACAGAAGCTAATGGAAAGGTATTGTTATGTGTCACTGGCATATTTTATGAAAATCTTTTTGCTAGGATTTTTCTCCTGAGAAGCTGAGAGGCCTCAGAAATTAAATATAAACAATTATCTGATTGCATGGAATGTGATTTAGAGGTTGCTTACCAACAGGTGTGTCTTTGATTGGTTCCATGTAGATTGGTCATCAAGTAGAAACAATCATGGTCCAGCTGTGAGGAGTCATGGGTTTTTATTACTCATTCCTTTTTAGCTTTCTGATGTTTCCTTTCTCTTTCTTTAGGATAGTTCTAATATATAATTTTCTTTTAATGTACTAGATATAATAAAATAATAAATCAGCCTTCTGAAACATAGAGTAAATATTCTCACCTCTTCCCTCATCCTGAAGACCCTCAAACACCACCACAACTGTGTTTTCCCTCTCTCATTTTCCATACCGATAATGACTGCTTCTCAGTCAAGTTATTGTTGGCAGAGCACCATTTTGGTTTTTACCCTTAGACTGAAAAACAGTAGCAGTGCTTGATGGCACCTCGAATTTTAAAGCTCATCTTGTTTTTTTTGGAAGCCAGCATGGTGTTAAATCCAGTATTTGCAAGTGCTTTTTTTGTCATAATATCTGAGGTTTTTAGCTCGTAGTCCCAACTCATAATTGCATCATCTCCCATTGCTGATAGGCTGAAGATAACGAACCCTCAGTTTGGCATACAGGTTGTCACTAAACAAAATATCTGTTTAGCAAACCCTCAGAATTTGTGGATGAGAGGAAGCAGATGTATCATTAAGCACTAAATGGGAATATCATTTACAGTGGATGTCATGTTTCATTTTGATAAACTGCAAAAAACCCCACATGGAAGATGCAGCCCTGTGTATCTGCTGCTGAAAGCAGTGTTTTGAAAGGTAACATTATGATACTCTGCTGGGCTGCCAAAGCTAAGATTTATTGGAGAATATGATAGATGGCCTAAGCATTACCATAAAAGATAATGAAATGTGATCTGATATATGAGTTGGTATCCCATATAAAACACTCAGAGAAAAGAATCGTCACTTTGTAGAAAAGGCACACATGGAGAGCAGGGGCTTGACTGAGACTATCCAATTGTCATCAGCTATTTGTGGACTTTGGGATGCTGTAGCCCAGTCTTCCTTCATAAACACTGACTGTCCTTGTATCTGAAGAACATTGTTACTGTCATTTTTCATAGGCTGTAATGATCAAATACACATTAATGTAAATAAGAAGAGACAGTGAAACATTCTTGAAGTGGTTCTGTCATTGGGGAAAAAAATCTTTCTATTTACCTCTCATAGTCCTGTCACTGTCTCTTGCGTGACAGTGGACTGTTTTTAATGCATGCACCTCTTTCACCTTTCCCTCATTTTGAACATTTTCTCTCCTTTCTCTCCTTCCAATTTAATCTCATTTCTAATGCCAGTCTGCATAAGATGCTCATATTTTAAATCACAACTTAGTTGAAAGGAAATTCTTGGAAATGACATGCTTCTTGGGGCTGTTCTAATTCCTCTTTCTGCAGTCAGTTTTGTTAAGACTGTTTGGTTCAGATTTGAACAAAATATTTCTCAACAACTATATTTTTCTTTCTCTTTCTGGAATCCTTGTCTTGATATTATAGCCTATTATGCCTTTTCTTTGGGTATTTACACTGTTCCCCTTATTATCCATTTGAAATATGTAATATGTATGAAGCAAGTGCAAATCATACTACATTACCATCATAATGAGTAGTAAAGCTCCTTCTGCAGTGACTGATGATCTGCTGCTGGAAAGGCACAGAAAGACACCACTAAAGTGTGATACAAGGATGGGTTATGGTTTGCCAGTGTAATTTTGTGTGAATCATCTGTCCCATTTACTACTCCATTGAAATGGGGTGAGTACAGGCAAGAGCAGAGGATTTCTGAAATATTAGACTCATTATTAAGACCAGAGCAAATATTTATGATTTGCCATTGTAACTCTGGAAAAAACAAGGATTTATAAGAGAATACCAAGAACCAGGAAGTTGTTACTTTAGGGAAGAGGCCATACTCTTCATCTGCTGTAATAGAGCAGTGCAGTGTCAGAAAGCAAAGTGCCAGGCATGGAAGCATGACTCTCTCTTCTCTTATTATGCAAAGGGGACTCCAGGAGGAAAACAAGGGCATTGAAATGAGGTGGTTTTGTTCACCAGAGATGGATTTTTTATATGGAAGACTATTAGGAGAGTGAGGGGAAGTATATAGTATATACATAGTATGGGCAGGTTTCCAGAGTCACATCTTCCCAACAGGGAATCAGCCTTGAGGAGAAAAGGCAGTGGTCAGTGAAACAACTATACCATCCCCAACTTCCTGGGGTAGTGGGTGTCATCTGAAGCTGTTGGGATTCACCATCCTGCCTGTGGAGCTGAGAGAGGGACTTGCTGTGCTGATGCTGCAACCATGCAGCACTGGCTGAGCAGAGGAGAGGGTGCCGGCTCGTTGCTGCCCTGAACTGCTCCTGCAAGCCAGCCACAGCCCCTGGCTGGCAACTCCTCTCTATGAAAACAGAAAATGCTGATTTTTTCAGTGCCTAGTGGGCCTAACTGATAAAAACTGCTGCCACAGTGACACAGAAGACAGTGGTGAGGACAAGCATGATTGTTATGGGTGTTTCATACATGCAGAATGAGAGAGGTGGCTCACTCTTACTCATTATGTCAAAAACTGCTTGGTCCAGTCTGTGAGCCAACCTCCTTTGTGCTCTCAATCCTCTCTGAAGCTCAGCACAATTAATGATAAATGAACAGCTGTGGAATTGATTTCATGAAAGCAATCAGAGATCAATAGCAATATGTGCAAGTGTTAAACAGTTAACTGCACGTGACTAATTGTGCTCAAAAGATGGGCTGGTTTTGTTCTGCTGACATTTATAAATGGCTAAGCCTTCATTTTCATAGTTTATGATGTCAGATGAATCCCTTGGGAAAGTATTTTCCTTCCGAATGATGTCTATAATTCTGTGCTGAGTGCAATTTACCAACAATTGTAGTGCTTTAAAGCATACAGTGGGCTTGCTTATTTCTGTATCAAGCAACTTGACATATAAGATAATTTGTTAACTGTAGGAAAAATATATAAACAAGGTAATTTTCTTGTAAACAGTTGCCATGTACGACAAGCAGTATAATTGGTAACCTCTGTCAAAAGCAGGAACAATGAGAGAGAGACTTGTGAATGTGGGTGTATGAAATGAAAAGCACTACCTTAGGCTGCCTCTGCACTGGGTCTGCTCAGCTGGAAAAGTAAAACAAGCTACAAAGCCTGCTGCTGGAAAAGGTGATTTTTAGAGAGGAAAAAACTCCCACATTTTTCCTAAGGTTTGTTCATATTCCTTCTGCCAGGATGTGGCTGAAGCTGCTGAGCCTGTTGGGCACGTGTCCCTGTCAGGTGGTGATGGCAGCAGTGCTGGGGCTCTGCAGTGCAGCTCTTAGGGGCTCAGACCTCTGCTGCCATGGGACATATGGGTGCAAAACAGCCATTTCTGAATATCAAAATAACACTGTGCACTACAGCTGGCCAGTTTCACAGCGATGGAGGCCAGCAGAGCTTGGGTCCTGTTTCCCAGGATATCAGCATGGAGGACCCTTTGTTAAATGCTCAGCAGCTCGGTCTGCTTTTTATGTGCATTTGTGCTGTTGGAGGAGAAAGACACCCCCCCCCCCCTTGTTTCTGGTGACCAAATGTACAGGGATACAGCCCTATACATTTTAGAGGAGCTGTTCTCACAAGCATGCTGAGACCTGTACTGGACCCCAACTCACAAAAGCTTTGGTCAATAAAGAGAAAATATGCAGTCACTAAAAGCAACACATTCAAATAATTTGCTTAGAGATATATAGTGATAGGATTCTTCCTTAGTAAGAGTTTGGAGGATTAATCATAGTTTAAAAAAACTGCTGGATGCTTCATAGGCACATACTCATTAACTCACTGCAATCATTAGTGCTCTGTGGGCTCTGGTTCCTGAGTAAGCTGCTGAGAGAGGAGAAAGAGGATTTATTCCTGGAGGCACATTGTTCTGAACACATCCTTCATCTGGCCAGTGAAAAGATTCATTTTCCTCTCCTATTCACTTTGCTTTCTTGCAGGAGTGCCTTTTGTGGCACTCCTCTCTGTGCAGACCCAGGCCTCTCCTGGCTGCCAAAAGCTTTCCCCATCCACGTGCCCTCCCTTATTTAAGCAGCTCCCCTTTGTGGATGCTATTGTCCTCTTTTCTTCTGTTTCTCTGGACTCAAAGTCAAATGCTCTGTTTCTCCCAATTCAGAGTGGTGGAAACATGCCTTTCACAGAAAAGATCTGTATCTTTGGTTCCTCTGTTATCTGCTGCCGTGCCACGGTCATCATTCTGAGTTTATATTATGAATCCTGCCTCTATGTCTCCATTCAGATTGTGCTTACAGTATATTTAGAGGCACGTGAAACATTTGCCAGCACCTTATCTTTATTTTAAAAGAAAATAAAATTTTATTCCCTCCTCAAACACGGTCTTTTAGGAGAATAAGGTTTTATGTACTCCCTGTGCATAGTAACAGTGTTGCTAGGGGGCTGTATTTCTGCAGGATCTCCTTCAGCTGAGGGCTCATCTTAACATTTGTCAATGTGTTCAGTGAGAAAAAAGCAGAGGATTGGAAGAAAAACCAAATCCCCCTCCCACACCCATTATTCACATCACTTTAAACTTTCTATAGATTCAAGGATAATGGTAACAAGGCCTTTGCTCTCCTCTCACTTACACAGAGTGCACACCAGCTTTGTGGTGAAGTAAATTAAATCAGACCACTATTTTATCCTAAAAATATGTGCAAATGATGTTTTTGTCTTCATGATCAAGCTTAATGACGAGGTGGAAAATGTTTGTTCAGCACAGAGAGTGGTAATGAAATCATTGGTTTTGAATGATAAAAGTTGGAGGTGTTTGGATTTATTTTCCTTCTGTCAGAGCTGAGATTTTGTAGAAACTGGGGAGCTTTCCACACAAGTGACCACGATATACCATGGGAGGCCCCATCTAACCAATCACCGTTCCACAGGCTTGAATATGTGCTCACTTTCAAATGCCCAAGGATCTGTGTAAAAACAAACTTCTACATTTTCAACATACTTGGACCCTACCATCAGGGACGAACAAGTGATTGCATTGGTAGTTTTACTTACAAAGTTAGTCAGATTTAGTTTCTTTTTTAGTCTCCTGAGAAATATGATGGCTACTCTTTTAAACAAACTCTGGCCTTCAGGCATGTAAAATGAGCATGGGAATCAGACACTGGCCAGGGCCAGCTATTTACAGCAAAGAGAGGGAAGGATGGGAAACCTGCATCCTCACCTTGGTTCTTGAAGGCCATGAGATGCTCCTGTGGCAGGAGCTTTACCTGTTTAAGCTGAAAAACATCTGTGTTGTTTTCAGCAAAATCCTGACTGCATCTCAATAGAGATACAATCTAGTTCAACCAAGGTAATTTTCGAAATACAGTCACAACACAGGATTTACTCTTTAATTGGTTTAGTAGAAGATAAGATGCTGTTGTTCATTGCTGTTTTGTTTTTCTTTAAAAATCCATTAACTTCTATGCAGGTCTTTAAATATTTATAAGATTTAAATAATCTTTTAAAGCGTCCTCAGAGAAGACATTGACTCTTTTAGTTAAATAGTTTTTATTTTTCTGGTAGGGGAATTGTTTAAGTACTCAGCCAACTAATTCCCCAATTTAATCACAATATTTTTATACTCAAATGTCTGTTTTGTGTAAGCAAAGAGAAATACAAGAGAAAAAGTTGTTATATTTACGTGTAAACTGATTCATTCCATGAAGGGGATATTATGCAGTGATTCTGGAGCTGCCTGTAAATTGAAGGTGCTTTTAAATAAACACCTCAGGAACTCATACCCCTCTAAATATTTATATTGTAAGGAAAGTTTTGCCACAAAATATTGCTCCTCTTCTTCTTTCTCCCTTAGAGCCATCTGAAGTGTTCAGGTTGTTTGCAATATGGATGCTGGAGAATAAGCAAAATCACCCATGAAAGGAGCCATGAAGTTTGTGGTGGAAGCCAGAATTAGAGCCAATTCCAGAGATGAGCAATATTCCCACCTTGGTTCACAGCTCTCGTGCTACAAGCATGGTCTACAAAAGCAAAGGTATGCATTGCCAATAATTCACATTTTGTGGACACTGCCTTAGGCCTGACTTCTTGCAGTGGCAGGAGACACTTCTCCACAGAATATATTTTCTTTACAGAGGTCCCTTGCACAGCCAAAATCTGGGAGGGGAATGGAGGGATGTCCAGCTGTCTGTCTGCCTCAGATGCTTTTATACCTGGGCCTGCTTAGGACAGGCTAAGTGTGTGTGAACAGAGGCTCATGGGCTGTGTTTTTCCTGTAGTTGGCTCCTGGTTGGCTTTATTTGGTTTGCTCTTTTGCAAAATGGTTTCTTTGCTTGTTTGTGCTAACAGCAGAAGTGCTAGGTCCCTGTAGAGTGAAATTAAATGCCAGGTTTAGGCTGTGTCTTCAGAGCAATTAATCATTCTTCAGAGATATGGACAAGGCAGCCTCCAGGACCGTGTGAGCTCAGCGCAGCTTTCCTGCACACTAGGCTTGTGTGGAGCCCCTCAGCTGAAACCAGCATTTCTTGGGCATGTCTTGCTGCCAAGCAAATCTGCCTTTTGCAGTTGAGCCTTGTTTTCCCTGCCCACTGTTTTGCCCCTGGCAGCCACAGCAATCAGGCACCAGAAGAAATCTCCTCACTGCGGGGGAAAATAATTAACGAGAACAAGCAGAACCATCCATGCACATGGCTGAACCCTAAGAAGATGCTCACAAAGGTGATTCACAATAATGTTCTTAAAACAAAACAGGCACTCTAACAGTAGCCAAAACCAGTGTAAGCACAGGATACTTTCCAGCATTAGCCTAACCCTCTGGTGATAGCGATAAACGATGCTTCATGTTTTAATCAAGAGACAATATTCTTGCTGGCTGATTGAAGTGTTTTTATTGGAAATAGCTTCCAAAAAGAACCTGTCTTGTTAGTACTGTAAATTCTGCAGGCTAAAATCCTTTGATTCTCATTAAATTAACTAATTACTGTCTCTCTGGATCAATGGATTTAGGAGCACTGACATAATCTTGCTAGGAAAGGAAAGCTGCCAAATTCCATGACTTTGCTTAAACCTATTACCCTGGTATCTGTGCACTGAAAGAAATTTATCACCATGTAATTAATCGTCTTAGTTGGTTGACTGTCATATCAAAAGGAGGCAAAGATTTAAGGTTTAAGCTAAGCAAACAAAAAAAGGTGGTTTTTTTTCCTTCCCAGAAGAACTGCATATGCAATTGGCTTATTTAGGGCGCTGTTTTTACAAATATGAAAAGAAATATTTATGGGGAACAAGCAACATCCATGGGGTTCTGCCCAGCACTGGAAGGCAGATGCTGTTCAGGGTGCTCAGCAGCCCTGTTGAGCTGGCTGTGGGCAGCAAAGGCTCTGGGTGGGAGCTGCTGGGGTGCGGGTGCTGGCTGGCACCCACCAGCTCTGGAGAGCAGGATCTGCACGCTTGGCACTATCCTAGGGATGCCTCTGCTTGGCACAGCCAGGCCCATGTCTGGCTGAGGACCCAGCATAGAGCTTAGCCAATGCTCAGGACCTTCAGCCCCACAGCTGCTGCTTGTGGCACGATTAAAATTCCATCTATGTGCTTTTTTACCTAGCTTTGCAATGGACTATTTAGGCTCCTGTCCTATGTGAGAAATAAAAAATAGGATTTTATGGTATTAGCAAGCCAATTAATCTCTAAAACAGTTGATCCATAAGGTAGGAGGACTAAATTTTAGAAAGTTAATGGTGCAAATAGGCAAAGCCCTTTCTCAGCTGCAAGCACTGCATTCTACCCTACTCCTAGCTTAGCTGTCCAAGTGGGTTTATTATGTTTGCTCAGCTATAATCTATACATGTTTTAACATACTCTAAGCTGTTTTTAATTTTAAACTAAGAAACCCTGGCAAATCTCTTTCAATATAATTAGAATTTTCCCTTTAGTTTGCTGTTTAGCCATTTTTTTCTTATTTCTGCTTTATTTTCTGGTAGATAAATCCTCTTATTCATTTGTTTCAATGAAGCCTGAGTAAAGGTCATTTAAATTGATTCACCTTTCTTATCTCCCTTGCATTTATTCTATAATCCTGCTTTCCATTGTGTGGAGGAGAATAGCTTTCTTTTCTCTGATTGTTTCTGCTAGAAGAAAAATGGTAACCCTTTATTAAATAAATCTGGGAAAGCTGTGCTCCAAATCCATATTATCACTAGCTTGGGGAAACAAATTATTAACAAACTTAAAAAAGAAAACATGCAGCACTTTTAGCAGTTTGCTGTTAGATGGCCTGAGCTTTTTGCCTCAAGCCTCCTAAGTGAATGAGGGTAACATTTTGGTACAATTTGCAAAAGGAAAATCTCAGGCAGCCAATTTCAATTGTGGAGCCCTGTGGAGGTGCAGAGCACCAGGGACCTGGGTGGTGCTGGGGCACAGAGCCACCCAACCTTTTCCCATTTGTCCCAGATATTTCCATGTTTAGCAGCACTGTCCAGCCTCACCAGCTTGTCTCTTAGCACACAGCTCACACAGATAGCTCTTCTGGAGCTACACGAGGCTTCAGCTTTGAAGGGAATGCTCCTCTTTTGATTTCTACCCTGAAATGCATACCTCTGCAGGGGATAGGTATGGAAATATTATATAAGATATGAAAAGAATAATGAGTGACTACTCACTTTGCCTTGAAAACTCACCTGAGTGCATACTGTTATTTTCTGTTTGTAGTCAGTTGACAAGAATCTCTGTAGGCGTCAGCACCATTTTCTGACTCTGTTCCAGAGGGATGTGTTTGGTTTTTTTCCCTGATCAGGTGTTGTTCTGTAATGTAGGACAAATTTTAGATGAATAAAATGTGGTATTTTCTAATACTGGAATGTTTAAGAAAGGCATACAATTAGGAAAATAGGAACATAAACCAATCTGTTAACAATATGTTCACATATGTAAGGGTGTATTTTCCCCATTTTAAACAACTAAGTCAGAATTGCTTTTTATTTTGTTGCCAAGGTTACTGAATTTTGAATAGTCTCTAGAGAGTGGTGGCTTTAACTCGTTGAAAGGCATCATTGTTTAATATTAAGAATATTCTGATGAAAGCTATCTGAGCTGTGGAAAATCACTTCTTCCTTCAAAAACACCTAAAATTAAGGCTGTAGGGATGGCCCAGATGCAGTTCAGGTAACCCTGCAGTGAGCTGTTCAGTGCTCAGGATGGGTTCAAGGCCAACGGCAGCCATGTCAGATACAGCCACTTGGCAAAGTCAAGAGCAGGGAAGGAGATGTCCAGAGGAAAGGAAGCAATCTTTCAGTTCAGTGTCACAGGGGGAATACAGGTAAGTGAGGGAAGGTACAGAAACTGTCTCCAGGACCACAGCAGTGATAGGGATACAATAAAATCTTACCTTGAAATCACTGAGGTACAGTGTGGGGGACCCTGACTGCAGTACAGAGGCAGCCAATCCCACAGAGCAGAGAAGATAAAAGCTGACAAGAAAGAGAGGAGAAAACAATCAGGACCCAGACTTGATCCTCCATTCCAAAATGAGAGCTAGATACCAACAGGGGCAGGATTCCTCCAGAAGCTGCCAAGTCCTGGAAAAGCAGTGGGAGTGAGACCTCCACTCACACTCTAGTAGCCCCAGACTGCATACAAGGGACTCACTGCCCTTTTTTTCCCCTTTTCACTTGCTGCTGTAGCTACCTGAAGGGAAATGTGTTCCAGCATTAGATGTTCCTTCTGTTGAGGCACAAATATGTGAGAATGGGAGGAAATGGCCTTCTCTGTGGTGAGGGATAGGAATGCTCTCCTTTGTCTCACTATGTTGTTCTTTGACTCTCAAACATTCATGGACACTTGAATCTAATGAGTCAAACTAATGCTTTGGCAAAAGAGTTTATAAGAAATTAATACTCAGTTTGCGGTATTGAAATACGCTGGTCATGCATTTACTGCCACCCACTCATCCAAACACACCTACAGTTATATACACTGACAGTGATATAAGTAATGATAAAGTAATTTGAATTAAATGCTTAATTGAAATATTTTAAAGTATGCCTGTTTGAATGCTAGAAACATTTTATGTAGCATACATTAGTCTTTAAGTAATCTGCATATGGTTTTACTATCATGAAGCTATAAATCACTTGAAAAATTGTTTTATACTGCACTGAGTACAAATAGAGTGATGTGAGGCAGGGAACTGAAAGGTAGCTGGGTATTTTTTGGATTTTTCAGAAGTGTCATTTACAGGAGGGGTGTTGCAATGTTGCATTTGGGGTCAGTGGACAGGATTGGGGTACCCCCAGTACCCGCAGAGTTCCTTCAATCTCAGGTGGCCTGAGGGGGTCTCCAGGAGCTTCCTCTAAAATCTCAGCTCTGCGCCTAATTGTTACTCAAAGCTCATTTGGCCGCTAGTTTTTCTTAGGCCAAATTTTTTTTGGTATCATCAAGTTTGTTAGTAACATCTGGAGTGGTCACAGACCACAGCTGTAGGAGAACAAACCTGATCCTTGCACTGTTCTTCAGCCCACTCTTCTCTGATATTTGGTGACCAGGCTCTTTGGATCCATGAGATTTGTCCCACTGTCCCTACCTGCCCTGTACAGCACTCCTCTGGCAGTTAAGAAATACAGGTATGCAGCACCTGCCAGAGCACTCTCTAGGCAAAATGCCTTTTGAAAATCTCTAGGAAGACAGACGCAAATAAGTTCAAAAGCTCTTTTTCCCCTGGTAGCCCAATAATGTAGGTAAAAACTTTTTTGGTTTCATTAGGTTTCAGACTGTTGCTTTCTCCTGCCTGCTGAGCTTCTGTGAGTTTGGCTGTTGAGCGCCGAGTGCCGCTGCTCTAAACTGGAGCCACACTACTGGGTGCTGCTATAATGACCTTTCTCATGAATATGTATGGCCAGATAAGTGAAGCAGAATAAAAGATTAGAAACTTTTAACACTCAAGACTCTCCAGAGCTTCAGCCCTGGAGACTGGAAAGGTATTCTGCTTCTTCAGGAGCAAAGCAGTGAGAGAGCTCGGGGAATCTTTGTGGTCCATTGTTG